GACAGCCTAAGGGCCGTCGCCGCCATTTGGGGGCCGAGCGGGGGGCTGGGCTGGCCAGGGGCTCTGGCCTTTGCTTAGCTGGGGTCTTAGATTGTTTTTAATTGGTTTTTTAATTGGTGCATTCTCGTGCTTATTAGGATGTCGCCTGGGGAGCGCGGGGGCGCCGCCATAGGGGTGGTGATGGGCAATGGGCATTATGGCGTTGGGGGGTCTAATGGGTCAGCATAGAAGAAGGAGGGGCAGATGGCTAACACCTGTCCCTCTTTCTGGTTATTCCCCCAGCCGGCGGGTTCCAGGTAGACTTGTCAACTGCCCCCCGGGCCTGTCGGTGCTGCTGCTTCATGCCAGGTCGGTCCAAAATAAGGTAACACTCATCCATGACTTGATCATGGATGAGAGGGCTGACCTGGCTTGCATAACAGAGACTTGGGCGGGTGAGGGGGGGGATGTCTCCCTCTCACAATTGTGCCCGCCCGGGTACCTGGTCCAGCACCGATCACGCCTGGAGGGGAGAGGGGGTCGCTCTGGTTTATCGAGCTTCTATTTCCCTTGTGGGGCTTCCTGTCCTCTCGAGCCCGGGGCTGGAGTGCCTCCCCTTGGTGTTGGGCGACTGAGACAGATTGGGGATTCTGTTGGTGTACCGTGCACCCTTCTGCCCAACAGATTCCCTACCTGAGCTGACGGAGATCGTCTTGGACCTGGTGCTGAAGACTCCCAGGATGTTGGTCCTGGGGGACTTCAACTTCCATGCCGAGACGGTTCTAACCGGGGCGGCTCAGGACTTCATGGCCTCCATGACGGCCATGGGGCTGTCTCAACACGTCATAGGCCCGACCCATGAATGTGGACACACTCTGGACCTGGTTTTCTCGACAGGGCAGGAAGAGGGTGATCTGAGGGTGAGGAATTTAAGTTTGACGCCCTTGTCATGGTCAGATCACTTCCTCATAAGGTTTGAGCTCGAGAGCGGCCTTTCCCTCTGCAAGGGTACGGACCCAATTGTATTGGTCCGCCCCCGGAGCCGGATGGATCCTCATGGATTCCTGGAAGCTCTGGGGGATTTTCCGGTTGACAAGGCTGGTGATCCTGTTGATGCCCTGGTTGAACTGTGGAATGAGGAGATGACCAGGGCTATAGACACGATCGCTCCCAAGCATCCTCTCCCACCTGGCAGAGCCCGTTCATCTCCTTGGTATACGCCTAAATTACGGGCGATGAAGAAGGTTGGGAGATGTCTAGAGCGTAGGTGGAGGAGATCATGGGGTGATTCTGATCGAACACACTTGAGAGCCCATTATCGGGCCTATGCTGTGGTGGTGAGGATGGCGAAGAAGAAATTCTTCTCCATCTCCATTGCCTCCTCACAATGCCATCAGCGGAGCTCTTTCCGGTGGTGCAGGGGCTGTTACATCTGGGCCCGAAGAGAGATCTGGTGCCACCCTCGAAGGCCCGCTGTGACGACTGCCAAGCATTTTAGGGAGAAAATCACTCAGATTCGCCACAAGCTTGACTCTGCTATTGAATCAGATTCTACTGGGGAGACGCCATCGACGCTGTCGAGTCCACAATTAATGGATGAATTTCAGTTGTTGTGGCCTGATGATGTGGACAAGGTGCTTGGACAAGTACGTCCTACCACTTGCTTACTAGACCCATGCCCATCTTGGCTACTGAAGAAAGCCAAGGACAGGATTGGGACCTGGATCCTGGAGGTGGTCAACGCCTCTGCAAGAGACGGCCGGGTACCTGCCCCTTTAAAGGAGGCGGTAGTCCGGCCAGTCCTAAAGAAGGCATCCCTGGATCCAGAGGTGGCCGCCAATTATAGACCAATGGCCAACATCCCATTCCTGGGCAAGGTACTAGAGCGGGTGGTGGCGGGACAACTCCAAGCTCTCTTGGACGAAACTGATTATCTGGACCCGGCTTCAGACCCGGGTATGGCACTGAATCTGCCTTGGTCGCCCTGTACGATGACCTGTGCAAGGAGAGAGACAGGGGGAGTGCGTCCCTGTCAGTTCTCCTGGACCTCCCAGCGGCCTTCGATACCATCGACCATGGTATCCTTCTGAATAGGCTGGCGGGATTGGGAGTTGGAGGCACCGTGTGGCGGTGGTTCCACTCCTATCTCAATGGGTGATTTCAGAAGGTGGTGCTGGGGGACTATGGCTCTGCGCCATGGCAGTTATGCCATGGAGTTCCGCAGGGGTCCATTTTGTCCCCTTTGCTTTTTAACATCTACATGAAACCGCTGGGAGAGGTCATCAGGAGGCATGGGCTGCGGAATCATCAGTATGCTGATGATACCCAGCTCTACCTCTCATTTTCCACCAATCCAGGTGAGGCAGTGGCTGTGCTGAACTGGTGCCTGGCCGAGGTAATGGGCTGGATGAGGGCCAATAAACTGAAGCTCAATCCAGACAAGATGGAGGTCCTGTTGGTGGGCAGCTCGGACCTTGAGATGGGGGACTGGGGCCTTGTCCTAAATGGGGTTGCACTCCCTCTGAGGGACAGGGTTCGCAGCTTAGGAGTGCTCCTCGACCCTGAGCTGTCTCTGGAAGCCCAGGTGACGGCGGTGGCGAGGAGCGCCTTCCTTCAGCTTTGGCTGATCCATCAGCTGCGTCCCTTCCTGGAGAACGACTGCCTGGCAACAGTGACACACGCGCTGGTCACTTCCCGATTAGATTTCTGTAACGCGCTCTACGTGGGGCTACCCTTGAAGACGGTCCGGATACTTCAATTGGTGCAGAATAGAGCTGCCAGGTTGCTGACGGGGACTGGGCGTTGTTCTCATATAACCCCAGTTCTCTGTCAGCTCCACTGGCTCCCGATTGAAGTCCGGGCCCAATTCAAGGTGTTGGTTATGACCTATAAAGCCCTAAATGGCTTGGGACCTGGATATCTAAAGGAACGCTTGCGCCCATATATGCCCTCCCACCCCTTAAGATCAGCAACGGATGCCCTTCTCCGGGAGCCCTCTGTGAATGACATCAGGAGGGTGAGTACCGGGAGGAGGGCTTTCTTGGTGGTGGCGCCCCATCTATGGAATGCGCTCCCCAGAGAGGTCCGCCTGGTGCCGTCGTTATCTGCTTTTCCGTGCCAGGCTAAGACCTTTTTATTTAAAACTTATTTTAATTGTTAATTTATTTATTTAACTAGTTGTTTTTGCTTTTTAAATTTTTAGCCAAGAATGCACTGAGGTTTTATTGAGGTTTTATGGTGCTGGGGGTTTATTGTATTGGGGTTTTAAATGTATGGTTAACTTTTTTGATGTTGTGAGCCGCCCCGAGGCTTATTGCGATGAGGCGGCATAGAAATGTTTTAAATAAATAAATAAATAACACCAGTGATACTGAGCTGGCGTAAACGACCGCCAGTCCTCACATTTGGAGAAAACCTGTCGTGCCAGCAAGCCCAGCTGGCAACGCATTCCCAGCTGCTTCCCCATCGGAAGGCGAGGCTGGTCAGGCTGCAGGCCACCCCTTGCAACAGAGGCAGCGTGCAGGGAACAGAGTGTGCTGGCCATGCAGCAGCTCAGGGTTCGAACCTGCGCAGCGGCCCTTTAAGAAAAGCTCCTGGACTCACTCTGGCTGTCCTGCATTGCGGCTGCTCGTCCGCCGCCTGCCTGCCTCTCGCTCGGGAGGAAGAGGAGCAGCGAACGCTGTTGCCGCTGCTTGTTCCCCTGACCTTTCCCCCTTTTCATCTCAGATTAGGAATGGCGTGTTCAGGCCATCGCTCAGCCAGCCAGGCCCTCTCACGGCACTCCATTCCATTCCCAGCTCCCAGCCGTCAGTCAAGGCATCCGTGCTTGCGCTGAGCCGATTGTGTGAGGCTTCTCCTTGAACCTTTTGGTGACATCCGCACGGGTGCTGTTACTTGGAGGGGGCCCTCTTCTCCCCCCCCCCCACGCACCACTTAAATGAAATCTCAAAATTTAAGGAAAGATTCTGAAATATCCCAATAGGAATCTGTGTTTTCTGCTTGCTGAGATAATACTGCTTTGAGTTTTATCATGTGTGCTCCAAATCCGAGGATTGTGCTTAAAAATTAAACACCTCCTCACAGGGACAATTAATCCATCATTAATTAACATGTTAAGAAATATCTCCCTATAGATCTGATTGTGAGCAATTTGTCCTCCCTTTTGGCCATGAGCAGATCTGAGAAGGTTTAAATTACCTGCCCTAAAAAAAGACTATTTCATTCTGTGGGGGAAATTACAAGCCGTTCTTTCCATGGAAGGAGGTTTTCCCAATCTTGGGTTCCCTTTTCTGTTTGTTTGTGGGGGTGTCTACAAGTCACACCATCCTTCACTATTGGCCAGGGATGGGGAGTCTGAGCACTTCGTTTCTGCTGGTGCATCTTTTCCAGGGCACACCTTCCAGCAAAAGGTGTGCACATCTCTGGGCTTGCGGTGTGCTTCATGCACCCACTAAGAATACATTCACGAGCACACTGAATGCTCAGAAAAATGTGCACACGCCTCCTTTAACAAATGGGAGAAGAAACCCTGCGTGCCAGAGATACTGGCAGTTGATGGGTGTATTTGGAAAAATCCGCATGGAAATCCGCATGGCGTTTGGGGCAAAGAGAAGCCATCCGTGCTCAGAGGCAGGCACAGACTTGAGCTGGAACTCAACTGGAGATGGCATTCTGCTTCGGTGAATTTGCATTTGCTGATTTTCATGTGGCCAGCTAGAAATGATGGGAGTTGTCATCCAATAACATCTGAAGGGAATGGTTGAACCCCCCGCTGCCCATTTCTGTGTATTTTTGTGGTTTCCTTGTGGGTGTTTTTGACCACAGTGCAGAATTTCTCAGAATCTGGTCTGTATGCTATGATTTCAAACACACACACACACAGAGGACATACTACGAGGAACAAGGAGGAGGAGGGAGAAGGAAAAGTTGAGTCAAATTAAAAAGTCACAACAGTCCGTGCAGTTGAAGCACAAGAGAGAGAAGGGAGACAGGCAGACAGACGCATCCAGAGGAGAACTTACCCCGCGTTTTAGGCTCCTGAAGCAGTGGATTTTGGGTTTGGAGGTCATGAACTCGTTGAAGCGATGGGAGAGGGGTTCCTTTTGCTGCTTGGGCGACTGGGGGCCATTGGGAACAGGAGAGGGAGAGGCAGAGGAAGGGGGTGGAGGAGGAGGCTGATGAGGGGATGTTAAAAGGGACATAAGCTACGTATAAGAGATGGAGAAGTGATAGAATTAAAGAAAAAAAACCAAATCAAAAGATTAAAAAACAAACCCAGAAAAGCACACACGGAACAAAAGAACCCACACACGTCAAAAGAAGCAACATTTCAAAAACAAAATTTGAAAAGCAATTTAAAGAAACTACTTAAAACATGTTTTGTTTTGAAGTAAATAAAAAAACACAATTCACAGGAAAAGCAGAAGAGGGTCAGGATTCGGGGGGGCGTTTTGTTTTCTTTAATAAAAAAATAAGCTCGGGTTACAAAATGAGTCTGTGATAGAAATGGGGAATTTAGCTTGGGGATGCAATCAGAGGATGAATGTGTGGAACTTCTGCCACCAAAGGCCGTCATGCCACATGCAAATGAGATGAGAGGACGAAGCAGAAGGACAGAGAGGCCCGCCCAGCCTCCGACCCTTGCCCAAATTGCAGCATTCACAAGGAATTGGCAACCCGGCGCACAGAAAGTCTCTCCTTACGGAGGAAGCACTCCGTGGAGGGGCCAGAAATCCAAGTTTGCACCTTGCTCAGCTCACTGGGTGGCCACCTGGCTTGCACCCTTGGCCTGGCCTACCTTGCAGGGCTGCTGCAAAAGCTAAACAGGCGCAACAGGCGCCCCCCAAGGCTCCTTCAAGGTGTGCTGTTGAGACGAATGGCAGCGCAGTGTGTTTCTTTGCGTGGCGAACACAACTCCGGGCAGGACGTCAAAGGGGGAGCATCGAGCCGGGAGCAAAGGGATGGTGCGTGTTTGAACCCGGCACCTGAGGCCAGAGCGAGGGGTCCCGCCTCTCCGGCCCAGGGCCAAGTTCCATTCTGGAGATGCTCTTCCGGCGGCGGCGGGGCTGAAGGCGAAAGGGGAGGGGCAAAGGCAAAGGGGGTGGGGCTGAAGGCAGAGAGGCGGGGCCCAAAGCCGCCTATTTAAGAGGGGCATCCCAGCCTGTATCACAGGCACCTTGGCATGAAAGTCGGAAAATGGTCCCCAGATAATCCTTGGTTCTGGAAAAAGTGGCGTGTCTCCTGCGGGGTGGGGGGCAGCATGCAAAAGGCAGCGTGGGGGGGCAATATTTAAAACTGCCAGCATGTTTCTTCTCAAGGCTCACACTGCCAGCGACCGATGCTGAAGAGGGACCTTCAACCTTTGGAGAGCAGGGAAAGCCAGGACATCACCCAGCAGCTGGTTCTCAGGGGGATGGTGCTGGGCAAGTGGTTGGACTGGGCCCACGGTCCTGAGGCCCACCTCCCCGGCATCCCTTCAGAGGCTGCCCCGCTAAGTCCAGGCGCTGCTCCAGGGGAGCCAGGGCTCCGCCAGAGCACCTAAGCAAGGAGACGAGTCCTCCGACTTTGGACAGGTGGCGTGTCCTTGTCACTGGTATTCCTGGCTGCAGGGGGTCCCAAGTGAAGCCACAATGCGCGAGCCGGAGGCTGTGAACCGTGTGCCCCACACAGCCAAGCCCACATTCCCTGGCACCGCGTGGGAGACCCACGGCACATGCTCCCGGGGTCTCCAGCAGTGCGGAGGAGGCAGGGCAGCTCCAGAGGTGGGGGCCAGACTCCCCTCCGTCTGGGAGCCCGCCCTGCCCCTGCCATGGCTGCATCCTGCCTCCTGCTTGCCAGGCGAGAGCCCCGGAGTAGTCGGTGGCTGCCCGCCTTGCGCCCGTGGCTGCTGCCCATGCCAGAGCGGGGCGCGAGTGAGCAGGACGTGGCCATGGGGGAAGGAGAAAGGGATGGCGACTCCAGCGGGCACTTGGGGGTCCCCTGCCGGGGGACAGGCCCCGGGGAGGTGCCCAGCCACGCCAGCTCCTGCTGCACGCCTGGAGAAGGTTCCATGAAGGCGGATGCCTGGAAATCCGTGGTCCAGAGCTCGGCACAGCTACCCTACCGCTGTCTTCCCACCGCCCTTGCCTTTCGGATGCACTGGCCTACGACTCCAAGCACCTCCCCGCCTGTCCACCGGCTGGGGCGATGGGTGCTGTAGTCCCACGTATCGGAGGCTTGTGAGGAAGGATAAAAGGATAGTTCCTCAGTCCAGCCGAAGAGAAGGGAAGACCTCTGGGTAAGGAATCCAGCTCATGTGCTGTTAGGCGGTGCTTGCCATGCCGACGGCGAAGAGAGGGAGACACCCGCTTCCGTACACGTGGAAAGTGGTTGCGCAAGCCAATCCCCAGCGTTTGCTGGCCGGCACACGAGCGAGCGGGACGTGGCTGCAGCTGCAAAGCGCACCTCGCGGGTCCCGCGCCCCCTCCATGGTGGCCAGGGAAGCTCTGCCCAGCTGGGGCGGCTGGGGCTGCTCCTCTCCCTTCCCCAGGCCTCGCGGTTTAGGAAGTGAATGCCGGACACGAGCGGGCAGAGGGACGGGTGCAAATGTTTCCGTGGGACCACGTGCAAGGCTGACTAGGGAACGGGATGACCGGCTGTGTCCGAAGACCTCCGCTCAGCCACTGGCGCAACGACACGAGGGCTTGGATCGAGGCGGGCTTCCCAAGGGGAAGGAATGCTGCTTCGCCCGAGCTCGGACTGGAGCCTTGTGGAGAATTCGCAAGACCCTGCGGCTGAGCGAGGGCCCCCAGCATGCGGTGGTGAACAAATGAGGGAGACAGCGGGGTTAGCGGGAAGCGGTGGCGCAGGCAGGGGAGCGAATCAGCGGGAAGGGACTGACGGAAGCAGAGCAATGGGTGGGCATGAAACATCGTTCGCAGAGAGCAATTGCTTAGGACTGAGTAAGAAACAGGAAGTCACCATGCTGAAGTTAAGGTCAACTCAAACAAACTGAGCCCCAAACAGCTTTTGAACCAATGAAAAGCAACACAATGAGAAGAAAAGTACATTGAAATAATAAAAAATGTTACAAATTAAACCAAAAATCAGCAATAAAACCCCTATTATTAGAAAACCCAATAGGACATCAGCTATTAGTTCTTAGAAACTAATTTCTAATAAAAAACAGAAAGAGAAAGAGAGAGAGAGAGAGAGAGAGAGAGAGAGAGAGAGAGAGAGAGAGAGAGACTTTGCTGCTGGAATTGTGAAAACGACTGAACTTCAACCAAGTTCCGGAACGGTCCGTACCTTGTTCTTTTTGATGAACGGCCACAGCTTGCCCTTGGACTTGCTGCTGAAGCGGGACTCCGACTTGCCGTCCTTGGGGTTCGAGAGGCTCGATTCGGAGACCGTGCGCTTGATAGGCTGGGTGAAGTCTTCGAATTCGACATCGCCTGGAGGCTCAAAGCCAGACTTAAAGACCTCCACGACCAGCTGGGAGTCCTGGAACAGAGGCGGATGCCGCAGAAGCAGCTCGGTCACAGCCCTCCGAGGAAAGCCTTGACATTTTGGGACTGGGCAGTCCGTGAAGTGGCCAGAAACGGTTCCTCGCAACAGGGGTGCAAGCTCGGGACAGGGCCGGTGGCTTTCCCTGCGCCAGGCCCAGGTCCGTTCTCTAGCTGAGGCGAAGAGCCGAGCAGCAGTGGTTTTTAAGTCTGACTCAGAGTGATGCAGAAAGCCCAGGGCAGAGGCGGCGAAGGCAAAAGGTGGGTCTCGGGGCCACGTCTGGGCTCCCGGTGGCTCCCAGCTGTCGTGCAGTTTTGTCCTGGTCTAAACGCCTGGAATGCCTTTTCTAGTCCGTCCCTTCCCAGGCATTTATCTGAGTCCCTCCCACATGGCCTCTGCCCCGCCATTTTGCATTCACCCCCCGTGCCCTGTGAGCAGGACTGATATTAACTTGGCCCCTGGACCAAAAGGGCTCTGCACCAGCGCCCCACATGACATGGGAAAGCCCGGGGCCACTTTCTCTTTCGTCCCAGAAGACAAGGGCCAGCAGGAACGCACTGGTCCTATCCCGCCCTTTCCCCCTGCAAGGAACCCAAACTGGCTTCCACATTCCTCCTCCCCATTTGGTCTTCACAACAACCCTGCGAAGTAGGCCCTGCTGCAGTTCAGTGGCCTGGCCCAGTGGGTGTTACGGCCCAGCAAGGACGAGAACGTGGGTCTCTCCAGCCCAAGTCCAGCACTCCTGCCACGCCGGCTCGCCTGTCCCGGCCGTCTGGATGCGTCAGCATCTGTCTCCTTCCGCCGGTACTGAATCCACGGCCCAAAGATCCCGACTACAGTGGAGCTAAAAATAAACCGCCTGCCTTCGTCTGGCCGAGCAGATCATAAAGGGGGGAGTCGGGAGCCCAGAGCAACTTCATCTCCGGCTGCCGCCTGCGCACAAGGCGGGCAAGGACTGCGCAGACGGACGGGCCCACTCGGCAGCCACCGCGGCCGGCCTGGGGGAGGGACCGCCGTGCCGCCGGACATGCTCCAAGAGGAAACGTGGCTGGGAGCTGCGAACGCCTGGGTGCAAGCGGCCAAATGCAGGTCAGAGTCTGCGCCTCATCCCGGAGAGGCCGGGTGGATTGAAGACCCGGAGCTTCCCAGAATCCTGGCTTGTTCTGTTTTTTATGCTAGGGTTCAAACCCTGGGGCATGCAGAGGTGCCACTGAGCATGTGCAAAGTGCACTGTGGAGGAGAATGAAGCGGAGACGTATTCGGCCAGTGAAAGACAGCTGCCATCTCCGGATGAAGCCTAGTTCAAAGGCGGCGAGCATGTCTCAGCTCAGGGGTGGGTCCTGCTGCAAATGCTGCGCCAGCCAGCGCCTCGCATCAAAAGCACCGTGTGAGGCCATGCGGAGATTAAAAATGGCAGGGGCAGGGAGTCAGGCACAAAAAGACCCGGCAAGTCAAGATCTAAGCCCATCAACTGGGGCTGTTTTTTATGTTTGTTTTGCTCCTAAGTGGAAGCTTTGGGTGTTCAACATAAGTACACTTTCATTTAAAAAAGGAGAAGGGAAATTTGATACAGTGATACAGAGAGAGAGATCCAGGGTCCACATGCCCAAAGAGGGCCCAGGCGGCATCACGGGCCCAGCGAGGGCCTCTCTGAGTTGCCACACCGAGTTGTCAAGGCTGCCTTGACTCCGGGGCCTGTATGGCTGGGCTCCCACCACTGGCAGGGACCCCCAGGACTAGCTCCCCCCCCCCCCGCAGCCAGTTCCCCTGCCTTTGCCCTGGCCCGGGTACCGGGGTGGTGGGGAGGAGAAGTGGGGTAATACCATGGCCAACTCGCCGCCTCGCTTTCGGCCTGCCTGCAGGGAGGGCCGGCTGAGGGAGGGGGCAGCAGCTGGGGCAGGTGGGGAGCAGGGGGTGAGAACGCGGGCTCAGTGCAGGCGGGCACTCTTCACCCGAGGGCCCTGGGGAACCTGGGGTGGCCCCGACCACCCTGGCTGCGACCATGCCAGCGCTTGGCCACTGATGCGCTGAAAGACGGAGGGATCCCCCGAGGAGGGGTCTGTCGGGGGACGGGGTGAGGGGCCGCTCTCAGGATAAAGCCAAAGCACGTCCAAGCCGGTGCTTCACTCACTTTCTTCTGATCAATGGATTCCGCCGCTTTTGTGATCTCGTCCAGACACCTCCCGATGATGGGGATCACTTGTCGGTCCACGTCTGCGAAGGCCTTCATGGATTCGCCGAGCCGGGCGATCCTCCTCTCCTCCATGTCTTGTATTTTCTGCAACGAGAGCAGCCCGCAACGGTCGTGCGATGCCCTCGCGTGCCCCCGGCCTCCTCGGCCCTCGGCTCGCGGCAGCTCCCTGAGGGAGGCAGGTGGGGGCTGCGGGCAAGAGTGAGGCCACACGGAAACAGAAATGAGGATGCTCAGGCTGGCAAAGGGCAAACATTTGAAAAGGAAGCCCAAAGGGGAAACCGGTCAGCTGCTGGAAAGCAAGCATTAGAAAGCAAAACCGGTTGGGAATGGAATAAGGTGGAAGAGGTTGCGGCTGGCCAGAACATCTGGAATTCCTGCCGTGGCCCTCCAGCGTTTCCCGTGCGCATCGACCCCTTCCCCTGGCCCAGCTCCTGAATTTCAGCTGCCAGCTGTTTGGTGGTTCTCCAAGCTTCTCTGCAGCTCATTCCCCAACCTAAACAGATGAGATGCATGTGCCTTAGAAGGTGTGTTCACTGGAACAAAAACGTTCTAGCTAAAGGGGCCTGGTATTTGGGGAACTGCCTGCCACTGCGATGTAGCCGCCAGAGCCTCGGCAAGATGGAATCTGGCCCTCCGGCGGACAGAGGTGATGAACTGCTGGGAAGCCCACCTCTGTCCCCACTATTGAGAGTGAGGAGGCTGCCCCTTGTAGCTGGTTTGGCCACCTGATGAGTCTGTAGCAAAGGGCAGCCTCAAACACACTCCCACGATCTCACGCTTTCTTTCTGTCTGGCTGGGTTCACATTAACCCACACTCTGAGGCGGAGTACAGCCTCCATTTCTAACAAGCCACGGTTTGTTACCTCACCTGGCTTAATAACCCGTCTTTTAACAACAAACCACGGATCCGGGACAGCCCACACTGAACCCTGGAGGATTACAGCATCGTCCGAACCCAGCCATCGTCCCCGGCTGCAAGCCTCCGGGTGCTTACGGAGCATGGAGACAAAGGTGGCCCTGGGAGGAAGTCGACTCCTGCACGCTCCCCGGCTCGCTTCAGGAACTCAGGGAGCAGGCGGAAGCAGCGGGTTGGAGACACAAGCCGCCAGCAAGACAAAAATACTGGTGCGGCCCCTTCTCAAGGAGATGCTTGCAGGGGACGGGCAGCGCAGGCCCCTCACCTGAGCCCCAGAGGCCCCGCTGGCACCACCCTCCGAAAAGCAGGCACCTTCCCTGCCCGTGGGACGGATTGCGGGCAGGGCGTGCGACAAAAGCGCGGCTGGGCAGGAATCACGGCCGAGGCTTCCCATGACTCTGCCCTGCAATCTGAGGGTGGGGGGTGCGGGGGGGCTCCTGACCTGGCGCTCCGATTTCTCTGCATGGCTTCGTCCTGCTGGTGGATAACAAGAACAATTCCCGGAAAGACCCTGATGGGCATATCCGTTCCTGAAATTAAAAACAGCTCCCACCCTCCTATTGCTCTGGCAGTCAAGGGCAGGGCTTCTGAACTTTCCATTCATCTCGAGACACATGGGGAGGAGGGTTGTCATGACATGACCAGAGGCTATGCACTAGAACGGCAAGCGTGCGTGGGGCAGGGGGAGGCCAGCCTGTGCTGTGACTGACGCAGGACCTGGCAATGCATCCCTCGAGCCGGGGCCTTTCTTCCGAGGAGGCTGCACTGGCCCTGAACTAAAAACATGCGATGCCGCACCCCGGGCGAAACGGGGTTGTGAACATTTCACTGCAGCTGGCGGAGCGCCTCCTTCCATGTGTCCTCAGAGGCCCTTCCCTGGGGGCCCCCACCAAAGGGATCCGGGGGGGGCAAGAGAGAGAATGGCACCCCCCCCCCGGGGTAACTCCCCAGGGAGGGTTGCCTGGTGCCTCTGCTCTGATCTTTGCCTGCCAGGCAAGCACCTCGCTTTTCTCCTGATGGCGGCCCTGAGTTCTCTGCTTGTTCTGTCGTTCCGCCTGCTGTTCTTTCAGGCATTTCTCTCGCACTGTACATTTCTCACGGTGTGTGTGGCATCTCAGCCTTAGCCCAGAAAATGTCGACTATTCCGCAGATTACACGCAACCATTATCGCCAGCGTTATTTCATCTGCGATCCAGTTCAGCCCATGAAATGTAAGCGCCCATCTCAGCATCGGGCCAAAGCCGAAGCTTGGCGTGGCCGGGAAGGCTCAGGCTGTGCCGAGGCGCGAGAGGGGCAGGGGCGGCTGTGCAGCTGCTCAGCGGATGCCAGGCGGCCCCGTCGCCACGCAGCCCTTGTTTGCGCGCCCCACAGCTGCAGCACGGGGTGGCGAGCGGGGACAGAGCGGCGCTCAGCCAGGCTTCGTCCTGCCCTCCCACCGCGCAAGACCAACAGCACAGTGCGTTGTACGTGCCCCAGCTGGAGGCAGGCAAGGCAGCCCCAGGAAGACTGTGACGTCCAGGCTCTAAAATTACCTCGCTGCTGCACTGCAGAAATGTCCTTGCAGTGAGAAAGACAGAATAAGTTTCAGAGTAAAGGCCATTTCCTCTGTTTTCCAAGCCGGGCCATCAATTAAACACTCCTGGAAAACTGAGGAATCTGAGGGTATCTTGCATAAAGTTTGCATGAAGGGAGCACGGAGGGATGGGAGCAGCCTAGGAAAACTCTCCTGGCCACCACTGCCAAGTGGGAGATGAGGGAAGAGGGCGCTGATGGGCGGCTTGTTTTTATTTCTTCCCTCCCCATCTCCTTTTCCTTTTATGTTGTGCCTGTCTATACTGGAAGGCTGTGAGAAGGAATGGCCTTGTTGCACTGATTGTTCCAGGCAGGGCTGGTTCCAGATGAATTTGTTTACACCCTTCCTGGGGCCAGCTGCTCTCGACTGCCCACCCACATCCTCTGCAGAGACGAGACGGGGAGCAGAGCCGTTCCGCCGACCCTGCTGAAGGCCTGCCTCGCAGGGCCGTGCGTCAGCTGACTGTGCTGCCCCAAAACCATCGCTGATGCGCAAGTGCAACTTTGCCCCAGTACATTCTGCCCTAATTTGCCCCAGCCCTCTCAAAAAATAGAAGGTGAACTGAGTGCTCAGGCCCCTTCACACTCTGTGCATGCTCAAAACCCATCTTTCAGTCCTCGCCACTCCTCTCCTCTCTTCTCAGCTGATCTTTTATAAACTACCCAGAAAGACTTTATGGCTGAGGAGCAGGACAAAATTGCCTCAGAAAAATAAATTACTCTCCTCCCTATTCACATTCACCCCCCACCCCACATACACTCACCTGCTCCCCAAACGACCATAAGGTCTCCCGCTAAGACCAGTTGTTCTCTTGGGGTCGACACGATTCGGGAAACGTGCCTGGACAAGAGATTCCAGAACATGCAAGGGCCAGCAGTTTAGGAAACATGACCCATCAGGCCAGTCCGGAGTCCGGGGGACTAAGAAATGTAGGCAGGGTCCCAGGCAGCCGCCAGGCCGGCCTCTCACCTGGAATATGCTGGGTATGTGCGTGTAGTAATGCTCGTTCTGCTCCTGGTTGAACTTCTGCAGCATCGAGGAGTACTCCGTTTTGCTCTCTTCGGCCATCTGATGCCGGAGGTGAGCGTGCTGCCGGGCCTGCGGGAGGGAGAAGGAAGGAACGGTGGCTGCCCGCGCGCACAACCGCCACCGTTCTGTGCCCCCCGTCCTCGTACGGTTGTTGTTGCGGGAAAGGTTTCCAGTCGTCTGTGGTTCCCTACTGAGTACGCAGATCTCTGCATGCTTGTCTTTGCAAGAGGGATTTTTCTGGAGCCGCCCCCCAAGCGGGCTGCCCCTTGGGGCCAGGGAGGGGCCTTCGTGCCAGGGCCAGACAGCCACCAAGCCAGGCACCGCATGGGCTGCACGGGAGGAGCCCTCTCCCTGGAACCGCGAGGGGCGCCTCGGCCTCCCCGTGCAGGTGCCACCCCTGGCAGGGCTGCTGGCACGCACCCCCAGGCGGGGCAGGAGCAGCGACCTGGTGCTGCTGCAGAGGGGGCATCCTTCGGGGGGGCTGGCGCTCCAGCCACGCCTGTGTCCTGGAGGGTCCCGGGGACTGTGGCATGCAAGCCCCGCTCGGGGCATCGCTCTGCAGCGACTAGTGGGCCACCGTGTGAGCAGAATGCTGGACGGGCAGCCCCGGGGATGGATCCTGCCTCAGGCTTCCTCTGATGTCCTGCACAGAAGGAAGGAGCTCGTGAAAGGGACCTCGGGGTGCTGGTTGACTGCAGGCTAAACATGAGCCAGCAGTGTGATGCGGTGGTCAAGAGGGCGAATGCCACCCTTGATAGCATAGCCAGAAGTGTGGCTTCCAGATCGAGAGAGGTATTACTACCACTCTACACGACTCTAGTGCGCCTGCAACTGGAGTATTGTGCTCAGTTTTGGGCCCCTCATTACAGGAAGGATATAGCCAGGTTAGAGTCAGTGCAGCGAAGGGCCACAAGGCTGGTGGCCGGTTTGCAGGGGATGCCGTATGAGGCAAGACTAAGGGAACTGGGTCTCTTCAGCCTGGAGGAGAGGAGACTCGGAGGGGATCTGTTGGCAACATACAGGTATGTGAGGGGGTGTCACATGGAGGTGGGCTGAGACCTGTTCTCCCCTGCAGAGGAAGGCAGGACGCGTTCCAATGGAGCAAAGCTCAGGGAACCAAGGTTCCGGTTGGATGCCAGGAAGCACTTTCTGACAGTCAGGACCCCGAGGGTGTGGAATGGGCTTCCACAAGAGGTCGTTGAGGCCCCATCGGTGCGGGTGTTCAAGGATAGGCTGGACGTGCACATGGTGGGCATGTCGTGAGCAGAGCCGGCTGGAGCCGGGGGTCAGACTAGTTGGCCCGGGAGGCCCCTTCTGACTCGCTGTTTCTAATTAAAGGGGCCCCTCCGGTGCCAAGACCCACGGGCAGCCTCAGCCTCTGGCCGGGTCACATCACACTCGTGCAGCAAGAACGGCCCCCAGACGAGGCCCTTCGCACAATTTTGGTCACCCTCCTTGCCTGGCCCTGCCATCACGCCTCCAGCAAAACATTTCCCTCCAGCGTTCCCTCCTGGAGGCCCCTGCTTTCTCCGGGATCTTCACCCCGGGGCTTTCTGTTTCCTTTCCTGGCCCTGCCAAGCTTCGCTCGCAGCCATCTGCTCCATGTCAGCGGCCTTCCTGTCCTTGCTGCCGGCCAGACCTCTCCCCTGCCGCAGGGCCCATCTGCCTGCCCTCCCAGCCCATCTGAGCCAAGGGACACACACGGAAACGCCAAGGACACGGGAAAGCAACACAGGCGAGCGCTCTGGATGGCCTGCAGGATGCTCCTTCCTGCCCTGGGCTTATGCTAACATGCCATCCATACAGGCCTTGAGCCACTGCAGCTTTTTCTCTGGGCTTAGAACAAGGAGGGGCTGGACCAGATGGGCCCCCAGCCTGATCCAGCACCGGGGAAAGCTGGCCAGTGAATGCACACATGCCCAAACACAAGGCAGGAACCAGGATCGACCAGGGAGACGGGTCAGGAAAATCAGGACGCACTGGGATCTAGGACACAAGCGCAAAGTGACCACAGGAAAAGGGGGGGGGGGGGGGGGGGGATCCTGGTGGCTGGGTGCTCATGGCTGACTCCCAAATTGGGCTTGAGGCGGCGGTGGAGCAAGGACCCAGAAAGAAAGCTGCTCCTCATTAGCACTGGCGAGAGCACGTGTTATCTAATATTTTAAGCACAGCACAAAGCTCTCCACGCGCTAATGGGTCAGAAGGAATGTCAGGGCAGTTGAAAAAAGGAAACATTAATGAAGCTTTAATGCGGGAGAAAGGGCTGCTTAATGGCCGGAGAGCCGAGGTCCTTGCTGCACTTCTGCATGGAGGCGCTGCACATTTCTTCACTTTATTTATTCAGTGGGGCGTATATGCTTCCCCCATCTCCCACTTTATCATCACAACAATCCTGCAAGGTTGGCTAGCCTGAAGAGAGCCTACCCTACCCAAGGGGATCCGAATGAGGGGCAGGGGAATGCGAGGTCCCCCAAATGTGGTTGGAGTGGAGCTCTGGAAAGGTATATCTAGCTTAGTTGAAGCCTTGCCCACTTGAACAACAAGGCAGAGGCGTTAGACCTCTCAACCCCAAGGGCCGGTTGGACTGTCTGGAGCCCCATGTGGCCCATCAGGGTTCCCTAGTTGGCCATGCCCTCTTTCCCCAACCACTGATTGTTTGGTGCTTCCGGCTTTGTGCAGTGCTCTCTGATTGGCTATGCCCACTCCCAGCCATTTCCTAGGAGCGCCCAAAACATGCTCTCGCTATCTCTCTCAAAGGGGCCCACAGACCACAGTGCTCGGGGGCTCCTGAAGGCCAATGCAGCTCGCATCCAAAATGTTCTATGTACAGCAGGGACGCAAAATCCAGTCGGCCCACCTTTCCAGAACTGCCAGGCACGGTTTGTCCCGCCACTTGCAAGGGGGCCGAGCACATTTTTTGTACACCAGGCCAGAAATTTCAAGCTGCAGGAATACGTACAGCAGCGAGAGCAAGCCATCCTCGCGGCACCATTCTTTGGAGACGGAGCTTTCGTGCACTGAAGCTAGGACCCCCTCCTGCTCTGCCTTCCTCCCGCTCCATCTCACCAGCAAAGACACCAGCTGAACTCCCTTGATTAAACAGTGCCCGATTCTGCACGTGGGAATCACATATGCGTGATCCCCACTCACATGCCTGCAGCAAGGCAAGGAGGGACGCTTGGCGAGAGCAAGCTCTGTTCCCATGCTGCCAAAGCCCCAGGTTGAATGCTGCTCCTCTGATGCCCAGAAGGGAAGGCCTCAAGTCTCTAGACCTCAAGAAACATGCAAGAAGAGCCAAACGTGCTCTCCTTGAGACCATGGCAGGAGTTTGGTTCTTCATTTGTCCTAACCCCAAACCCCAAAGGATGAGCAGTGCACCCTTGAACACGTCTTCTGGTACCCAGCAAGTGCCCCTCCTTGGCTTTGATTCCGAGGTCTAGGAGCATTCTTATGTTTATTTCTAAGTAAGAGGCTGGCATGCTGAGAAGCAAGGAGCCGCCTCCAGTGCCACCCTGGCTGGGTTCCAAAGAGCGGTGTGCTGCTTCGGAGCTCAGATCCTCACCTCTGCCTTGGGTCTGGATTCGTGGACAAGTGATACAACTGCGGAAAGGAAGAACCACTGGAAGGAACCGGGCAGGCACAGCTGGATTCCGAGGACGGCGAGGGTGCAGGAAATCATGACCATCCCTTGCAGAGCTGTCTGTGCCCCCCCACCCCCCAATTTTTCTTACCTTTTCAACATCGGCTTTCGTTACATTGATGTCAGCATCCATCTTTTCAAAATACTGCTGCGCTCTGTCAGCTTCTTTGCAATCCCGTTCGAATCTCCTTTTGCTCTGAAAAGGCAACAGCAAAACAATGGGATTAAAAGCAGCGAACTTTTATTACAGGCAGCATGCATATACCAGAAAAAAACACCAGTTTCCATCCTCTGCCATATCTCTGCCCAAGGCTGAGTGTCCTGGAATCGTCGGCTGCCAAACAGAGCCGGCTGCCAAGCTGCAGCCAATGAGGAACTGCTGCTCTGCCAGGCTTGCTGCCCTTACTAAACCTCTGAGCAGCTTGGATCTTTTCACGAACCACTCCTGAACTGGCCCAGGAGGAAGAACTGGTTAGAAAGCACCCTGGAGGCCAAGATTTGCTGAAAAAGGCCTAAGGAGAAATTCCGAGAGATATCTGTGCTCTTCTAAAATAAAAGTTCTGGCAAAAATATTGAGGCCTTGCATGGAAGCCATAACAGGCGAACTGTCCTTGGCAATCTTGCCTTTTTTTCTTTTTCTTTTACAGGCCAGGTTCTTGGGAGATTAAAGTGCAACCCAGTGCATATTTCGATACAGAAAAATCCGAGATCTCCCAGCAAGCTCCAGCCAGCCACGCTGGGAAGTGCGAGGCTTTCTTTCTTGTCTCACCATGCAGAGGACTGGCCCCGAGGAAGACGTGCTGACCGTTCAGAGCAGGGTGTTTAAAAACAACCGAATGTGGGGCGGCTAACAGGGTCCTCGGGCTCCGTCCCTGTGCGCTCTGCTTCCATGGCGTCGCCGCACATCGCTCCCAAGGCCCAGACGCATGTACTGCTTTGCTACCGTATCTGTTTGCAGTTTTATATTATTTTTTAGCCTTGAGACAGCAGCCTGGAAGTCACGCTAAACACACAGCATGAACAAGAACCTCTTCTGGCACCCGGAGACCCCAGGGCTTCCAAGGGGTGACCTGGGCGAAGGGAGAGGCCTTCCTGCTGCTGGAACCCCTCAGTTTTCCTTCCCTCCCCCTCGTGCCCCTCCGACGCGAGCCCCGTGAATGCCTGAGCATCGGAACTGGGGCAGGATGGCTTTGCACCCACCGACTCGAGCTGTTTCCAGCAAGTCTCGATATGCTGCTGAGCCTTCCGTCCATCGTGGAAGTGCTGCGGGGAGACAGGAGAAAGCATTAGTGGCCCATGCGAGGCAAGGCGAGGCAAGGCGAGGCGAGGCGAGGCGAGGGGAGGATTGGACCGGACCTTTGGCTCCTCGCTCTGCCTGTGACACTGTTCTTGGAAGGTCAAAGAGAGGAAAAGCAGGGGAAGGAGCCTGCTCCGTCAGCTCCCTTGGAAGACCAGCCATGCCCTGGCTGTCCCTCGTCCCAGCAAGCTGCCTGTTTCTGTCCCACCTCTGGCGCGTCTGTAAGCTTTGAGCATGGCTGTGGCGGGGGCTTGCTTTTTCCTCCTCCCTCCCCTCCCCTTCTCCTTTTCTGTCCTGTCTGCTCGCCTGAAGGAAAGGACCATCTCATTCTGTATTGTGCTCCAGGCCAGTCCGGAAGCTTTTTTTTTGGCCAGAGAGGGGGAAACACACTTTAAACAACATCAACGATGGTGAGGACGACACTTAGTTAAGCATGTGGATTCTGCTGCTTAGTTCGAAAGGTTCCTGGAGTGGTTGACATGCGAGCTGCAGAACAAGGCTGCCCCTTAGAAAAGACACAAGGGAACGGGGAGGAGCGGAAATGTACTTTTTTAGTGGGCTCCCTCTGACTGCAGCCCCAGTACAGCTTGGAAGGATGTCAAACTCTGGACTGGCCCCCCTCACCCTGCAGAACGTGAGCCTCTCCCACAAACCCCGGGCACCCAGAGCCCACCACTTCTCCAGGGCCTGCCCATGAGAACGGTCCCGTGGGCTTTGCCCCCCCCCCCCCGAGATTCAGGCTGGGCAACGTCATGAGTGCCTCCTGAGGGGCTGGCGGGGAGCACCCGCAACCCACCCACCGGCCCCTCGGCACGCAAAAAGCGGCCAAAACGAGGGTCTCGCGGTTGTGCTTGCGTACATCGTTCGTTGAGGAAAAAGCCCGCCCAAGAACAGACCGTCGGACCTCTGAGATAGTTTAAACAGAGCACAGACGCAAAAATAACCAAAGCAAAGATGCCAACTCCATCTGCTTGCACTCCTTTAGCTTTCGGCGGAGACGGAGAAGTTGGTCTACCATCTGCTGCGGAGGCTTCCGTGTGTGCAGGGGGGCCTTCCATGCCCCCCATCCGCTAAGAGACGCTCCCCGAATTTGACTTCTGTTGATTTTTCCCTCCCTAGCAACCTCTTAACCTGAGGGAGCGGCGTTCCCCTCCCGGGCAGGGCCTGCAGGGCCAGCAAGCCCTTCCCCTTGGCTTCCTCCCGCTGCCCTGCCGCTGCCGTTTGAGCGAGGAGCTCGGCCAAGGCGCCCTCTATCAGCCCCGAACCAAGGCCATAAAAGGCAAGGCAAGGCAAGGCAGCGCAGCTCGAGGCTTGGCAAAACCTCGGCCCCGGAGTAGCCGGCGCTTCCCACTAATTCTGGAGACACGCGTCCTGTGCCAGCCTCTCTCACCACGTGCCCAAAAAACTTTCCTTAGCAAAACACACACCCTGAGCCACAGTGGAGTGCTCTGGAAAGATAACGCTCCGCTCTTCCCCGGCCACTTGGGGGCTAGAGCATAGGAACACTCTGGAGAGGGGTGGCCGTGAGACCGCCTCGCACCCGAATCCCTCCTTCTCGGAGTCGCTCGCGGGCACATCCGCGTGCCTGCCAAGATGTGCGAGAGCCTGCAGGCGGCGACAATGTCAGGGTGGGCTGTGTGGAAACATGCTCTCTCTTGCGTCTGTTGCCTCCAGTTCTCACACTTCACTGCATGGCCCCCTGCGGTCCCCCCACCCCCTCCCCCGTGCCTGTTCTGCATCTAAAGGTGCAGAGATCAAGAGTGTGACGGGGGAAGAAATAACATAAATGGCTATAGTGCCACTGGGCATAGGCAGAGTGTCCGCTGAAGCACGCTCGTGCCACTTCCCATCCTCTGCCAAAGCACTGCCTGAGTCCTGGGGAATGGCGGCCGCCCCCTCTGCCCTCCCTGGGGTTTCCTGGAGCTTTCCTGCCCTCAACAGTCCTACATTTTAAAAAGCCCCCGGGAATCAGCGGCTGAGCAGCTACAGCAAGGGTGGGGGAGCAGCACAACGGAGAGAAAGCTTTCGGGAGGCAGGCGAGAGGACACGGAGAGGTCCTTGCGCCAGGGAGTGCCACCCGCTCAATGCCGGCAGCTTGCCAGGAGGCGCTCTCACCCTCGCCGCGTGTGTGGGGCTGCTGCGGGAGGACGCCTGGTCCCCGGGAGGCACAGAGCCTCGCATCTGATCCTAAGGTTTTGTGGGCCGGGGGGTCTGCTCGCGCCTTGGTTTGCTCGATTTCCCCAAATATGGAATCCTTCAGGCAATAAAAAGAAGGTGAGGGGCACAAAAGGAAAGCAAAGAAAAAGATCTGAGGAGCGGCCTTCATATTTTCCACATCTGGAATAGCTGTCTGGGCAACAAAAGAGACTTTAATTGAATGTGATCCATAAATCTCATTTTTCAGGTCGCAAAACTCTGCTCTGAAGACGTAGAAGAAAGAAAATAGTCCTGGAGCAGCGTTCCTAGAAACCTTTTCAGTGGCAGCTGCAGAAAAGCTCTCTCTTATTTATATATATAAATATCTCAGAAGGTTGGAATGAGATGCTAAAAGGAAGGATTAACAAAAACAGAGACGGAGAAAAGGGAGTAATATGTTTTTAAAGCAATCCAGCAACCTGATTTCTTTCTAAATACGAGAGAATAACAGGCACAAGCCCCGTTTTTCACTCATGAGCCTCTGAGAAAAACATGGCCATAAAAAGGGATTTATTTTCGCCACATCATTCATTCCTATCACGCGGCAAATCTATTTTACGCATCAGGCGCAAAATAGGAAACCATGTGACATGCAACATCCCTGCTAAATATTCAGAGAGATTTCTGCAGCTGTGTCACTGCGAAGCGAGGCTGTGGGTTTTTTAAGCAACTGGGAAGCGACGGATCCAGACTCGCTTCACAAGGACAGTTAGAAACATAGAAACAGAGCGAGTCAGAAGGGTTCTCCCGGGCCATCTAGTCTGACCTCTGGCACCAGCCGGCTTCGCTCACGACACGCCCACCATGTGGACGTCCAGCCTAATGACAGTTCTTCAAACCAGCCACTTCAAATGACCCCAGTGCTATCCAGCACCTGGCCTTGGACTTTGCAGACTGGGGCTTCACGTCCTCCTTGAAAGTCTGGCATGGACATGGTTCTCCATCTGTAAAATGGGCACAACACCGCAGATGCCAAATGCATTTTGTGCTCTGAGAAAAGGCATGTGTGCGTCCTTCTCGCAAGAGCCAGCTTTTCGCTTTCAGGAGCACTCAGCCTGGTGCACACATCTCCCTCCCACACTGTCCTGATAGTTCTCCGAAAAGCGAGGTCTGCGTCCTCATCCCCGGATTTACAGATACGGGAGGGGAGCAGTCAGGCCTCGTGCAAGCAAGGGGAGCTGAGCCGGGCCGCTCCACTGGAGTCTGGCTCCTGCCACACCCCCCGGATCGCAGGCGTGTCTCCGGCCAGGAGGCACGCGCGCAGAGCAGGGGCGCAGGAGTGGCCCCCGTGCTCCCAAGTAGGAAAAGCGCAAGCCCCTTACCGGGAGATTTGGAATACGCCGAGCGGGAGGCATTCCGGTATGAGAACAGGGAGCAGAGCGGAATTCAGTGGAATTGCTGCCCAGCGCGAGGGACACCCCGCCGTCTGCACCGCTGGCTCCAGGCTGTGGGCGCCCTTGGGCAAGACACTTCTGTGGGCCCCCCGGCTGTGGCCCTCAGCTGGTGTGGCTCCTCCTCAGTGGGTCGCCAGGCCCCGCGGCCCCCCAACGCCGGCAGAGCAGCGGGGAAAGCAGCAGAGTCGCACCGTGCGCGGGAGAGAGACCTGCCGGTGCGACGCCACGCGAAGGGCTGTGGAGCGGCACAGCGTATCAAAGCACCCCAGTCCGGGGTTTGGGAGGGCCCTGGGCAGGACGGCTTCAAGGGCCCCCACAGAGGGAGCCCTGCCCCTCGCCACCGCTTGCTTGGTGGGCACAGAGCAGGCCCCACCTCTGCTGCCTGGGCTGGAGCGGGGGGCAGGCGAGCAGGAGGGCTGCCCCATGGAAGAGCAGCAGCAAGGCTGAGACCCCGCTCAGCCCCCCACATCCTGGCTTGCTTCTGCAGGCACCGCCAACCAGCGCCCCCCAAGCGGAGGAGGGCTGGGCTCTCCGCCTGCGCGGGAGAGATGGTGCACGCTGCCTCTGAGAGGAAGAGGCAACTGCGGAGATGCGCTCGGGGTCGGGGGCCGGGGCAGCGCAGGCCGCCTGTGCTACGGTGCTGAGTGGGGATCATGTGAAGCGCCTCACTCGCACGAGGCCATGACAGAGAGAGCCTTATGCGCACCGAAGGAACAAGCCCCGATTGTTCCCACGGCCTCCGTTTAGATTGACCAGCCAACAGAGAAATAATCTTTGTTGAAGCGAGAGTTTATTATTTTCATGCTGACGTCTTAGGCGGAACCCTTCTGGGCATCGGTGGCGGCTGCCGTCCCTCACAGAGGCTGCCCCGGCTGCTGGGCTCCGAGGGGGCAGCCCTACTCCCTGCGCGGGGCCCCCGAGAGCCGTTTCACCGGGGGACAGGGAAGGGCATTCTCTGTGGTGGCCCCTCCCATCTGGAACGACCCCTCCCCTGAGATCAGATGGGCTGCGAGAGGGAAGCGCTTCCAGCAGCAGCTGAAAGCCCATCGCTTGCTGGGGAGAAGGTGGCACGCCTGGCCATTTCCATGAGACTCCCTGTGCTGCCAGCTGGTTTTACGGCATTTCCTTGTGAACCGCTTTGGGGTCTTATTTCATTTTTAAAGGACAAGCGGCATGAAGATCTTGCGAAATGAAGAAAGGAGCAACAGTTGGGGGAGGCAGAGGTCCCTTTCACTGCACATTTTTCTAGAGATGCACTTTCCCACCTGGGCTGGCGGGAAGCCCATGTCCAGGAGTAATGCCAAGTCTGAACACCCAAAGCCTGCAGGGCTTGGGAGCAAAGCTGACCAGCGTTCGCCACAAGAGGAGAAAAGGTG